GGAAACAAAAAAAAGATTTGTTATGAAGTTCACCAAAGAGATGGAGGGAACAACAACAAACCACATAGAGACAAAAAAGGACCGAGATATGGATCCTCAAGCGCTCAAGCCGACTCCCTCAAGGCATCAAGGCATCAACCTGGCTCCTTCCAGGCATACCTAGCCCCCTTCAGGCACCAATCAGAATCTTCCCAGGCATTATCCTGACTCCATCCAGGCAGGAGCTGGCTGCACCTCGCGATATCCCGCTCCATCTCGCCTAATCTCGCCCCATCTCGTCTAATCTCGCCTCGCCTCGCCTCATCTCGCCTCATCTCGCCTCATCTCGCCTCATCTCGCCTCATCTCACCTCATCTCGCCTCATTACGCCGCACGACGTGACCCGAGATCGACCCGAGATTGACCCGGGATTGACCCGAGATCGACCCGAGATCGACCCGAGATTGACCCGAGATCGACCCGAGATCGACACGAGATCGACCAGAGGTCGACCCGAGAAGGCCCCTCTGGGGGGCAGATTGACTCAACAAGGCCCCAAAGCCCCCTCTCTGGGGGACCCCTCCCCCCCCACCCCGAGTGTCCGTGTCCTTCGCGAGTCACCGATGGGGAGCGGGGGGGGGGGTGCGAAAAACGAACAGGGGAGGCTGGGGAGGGGGGGGTCCACTCTGAAGACAGCCGACCGCGGAGGGGTTTTGTCCCACAGGGTTTTACCCTCCGCGTGAGGATCGGCGCGGCGAGGGGGTAGGCTCGAATTCGCCGCGCAACATTTCACCCCCACAGGACCCCGCCCTCCCCCCCCCATGGTCCCACCACCTAGAACCCCAATCTTAGGCTTCGCACCCCCTCCTTGCGCAGTGTCCCCCACTATGTGTCGCCGTTTTCGGGGCACGCTATCCTGTGTAGTCAGGGCAAGTGGGGGCGGGGGGCACTCCCATCTCTCCTGTGTACGGGTGGTGACTGTCCCTAGTCTCGGAGGGGGGCTTGAAGGTAAGAATATTTTATTTTTTTTTTCGAGGGTTAGCCCCGCGTACCAGGTTTCAGGACCCCCCCCCCCTTTCAGCGCATGTCAGTCGCGCTGCAGCTCGCGGCGGCGGAAGAGATTGCAACCGCGAGCTCAGCGGGCTCGCCGCGGCGTCGGAGGACCTACGCCCACACCACACCTGGCTCCAACGTGGACACGCCCATAGCTGGGGACACTACTAGGTCACGCATGGCATCAGAAGTGTTACCTCTGGGCCCCGAAAGGCATCTCTAGCAGCGTCGTTACGCATACGCCCCTCATAGCCCTCCCCTCCTGGGCGCATGCGCCTCACATCTCGCCAGAGCATAAGCCCTTGGTGTGCGGCGAGACGAGTTTTTCGCCACATCGCCGCGAGCAGCAAGCCGCCCGCCGCAAACAGCCGGAGGCATCGCCACGGCACTGACTGCGCCGCGATCCCGCACCCGTCGACGAAGCTCCCCCCGCGGAAGACCGCGCGTAGCGACGCCTTGACGATCGAGATGAGCGCGCTCGAGGCTCGCCCACCTACTGCCCCTGAGAGTTGGTTATGAGTGGGATCAGCTCCCCCCCTTGGGTTCGAAGCCGCCACAACCTCACACCCAACACCACAGGTGGGATCAGAGAGAGACTCCGCACCGGACACCGCCCGGGCACAGACCCCCTACCCTTCGGATCGCACAGGGCCCCCTCGGAGCAGCCCACACACAATCACGCATCGGCAGAACTAGTGCCTGAGTCAGGCAGACAGCACAGACAAGGAGAGGAGAGAGAGAGGAGAGAGAGAGAGGAGAGAGGAGAGGGCATGGGAGAGGGTGAGGGAGTGTGCACACGTGAGGAGTGGGGACCTGGGGAGGGTGGCTGTGGTGGGCTGTAGTCCTACTACGTGGTTACAACCACGCGCCCCTCAGGAGCTTAAGGTAGAGTGGAGCGCCCTAGACGCCTCGGTGCCTCCCACCGGCGTGAAGACCATCCGGATCTGCCGGGGTCGCCCTCCGGACGGACCCGTCCCCGCGAATGGCCCACGGTCCTCCGTCGCCAGGTCGAACCCCCTGCCTCCCGGTTGACCCCCCAGTCCTCGTACTCGACCATTAAATAAACTCAAAGGTCCACCACAGCCACCACCCTCCACCTCCACCGTCGAGCCGCGATCGCTGCCGCCTGCGACGCCGCCCGCCGCGTCAGATGCCCGCGACGCCCGCGGCGAGTCGAGTCGGAGAGCCGAGCCCGCGCACCAGCAGCAGCATCTGCACCAGCAGCAGCACCAGCAGCACCACCACCAGCAGCAGAGAGAGGCGCCAATTTTGAGGTTGCCCGAGACAGCCTGGAGATGGCCCCGCGTTGTAGCCCCGGTGCCGGCGCCTCACATCTCAGCATCCAGGGGCCGGTTCCGCCGCGCAGTCGAGCAGCAGGAGCTCGGGCACAGCTTTGTCGACAAAGAGCTTGATCAAAATTTCGGCGAAGAAGCGCCACCGGCGGCACGCCGGGATGAATCCGGACCGTTCACATTGTTCGACACCGCGACGGCGAGCCGCCGCGGGCCCACAGGAGGGCTCGGAGCCGCGGCACCGGTCCGCGCCGCCAGCGGGGCGAGAGCACCAGCCTACAACCTGCCGACATGGCAGTTGCGACGGCGCTTTCACACACACACAGTACGAGTATTTTAGGTCGCATCAAGAAATGTCATCCGCCGCCACTGCCGTCCGCCCCCCGCCCTCTGTGTGCGGTCTCACTTGAAGAAGAGGTCCTTTACTGTGTCGAAGCCGATCTTCCACATCCGGTCCAAGAGGCTAGACTCGCGGACGTATGGCCGCCGTAGCTCGTACGCGTCGGGCGCGAAACCGACGGGGCGGATGCCTTGATAGATGCGAAACACTTCCGCCGGGTCCCAGCGGCTCTTGATGCGAGCCAGCTCGTCATAGTTGGGGAAGTAGTCGCGTGCCGTGAGCGTCTCGGAAGGCGTGTTGTAGTAGCGGTACAGGTCGGGGCAGAGAGCGAGGACCGCGTTGTTCAATGCAACTGAAAGAAGAAAGAAAGAAAACGGACAACCCAGGGAGGGATCAATGCAACTGGGGGAAGAAAAAACCGTGTTCGTCTCTGGCGGCATGCTCTCGGCTGGCGCGCCTCGCCGACGCGCGCCCGTGCTCCGCCTCGCTCGGCGTGGCCTCGACCTGAGCTACAGCCCCAGGCGGAACGCGCCAAAGCTCAATCACGTGATACCTCGCCTGAATCCGCGCCGCCTCCGCGAGAGTGAGGCCAACCGGCGCGCTGTGCCAGAGGCCGCGAGTGAGCGTCCCGCAGCGACCGAGCGGCCGTGGCGCGACCTGGCGGTGCCCATGCTGCACCTGCCGGACGCGCTCGACGCTGCCTTGCGCGAAGTCACCACGCGCCGGCTGCGCGCACGCGGGGCACACGCGGGCACGCCGCCCGAGGAGATGGGCGTGGACGAGCAGGCCGCCGAGCGGATGCACGGCGCGTACGCCGGCGTCTACCGTGCGCTGCACGAGGCGCGGCGGCGACTGCCCGGCTGGCAGCCGCGCAGCTCGCTCGAGTTCGGCGCGGGCCTTGGCGCGGGCGCGTGGGCGGCCGCCGAGGTCTAGGAAGTGTCTAGGAAGTGTCTGGGAGGTGTCGGGGAAGTGTCTAGGCTCGTGGGCGGCCGCCGAGGTGTGGCCAGCGGCGCAGCTCGCCCTCACCGCCGTCGAGCCAAACTCCGACCTCCGGTTCGCCGCGGCGGAGCTGTGGGAGGGCGGGCAGGCGGCCTAGAGGCGGAAGATCTCCCCATATCTCCCCGTATCTCCACCATATCTCGCGCCCTAGAGGCGGAAGATCTCCCCATATCTCCCCGTATCTCCACCATATCTCGCGCCCTAGAGGCGGAAGATCTCCCCATATCTCCCCGTATCTCCACCATATCTCGCGCCCTAGA